CCGATGAACTTGAGAGCCTCGTCCTCCAGCTGGAACGGAAAACACAGGGATGGGAGCTGGGAGCACTGGGAATTCAAACTGGGAACACTGGGATTTCCTCTGGGAAGGAGGGAAAGGCAGCACAGGAGCAGCAGCAGGAGCGTTCCTGCCTTTTACCCCATCAGGAGCAGAGCCTGGCCCCAAAAATGCTTGGGAATATTATTATTATTATTATTATTATTATTATTATTATTATTATTATTACCATCATTATTATCATTATTACCATCATTTTTATCATTATTATCATCATCATTATAATTATCATTATTATTATCATCATTATTATCATTATTATATTTTATGGTTTTTATTATAATTATTATAATCCTTATCATTATATTATCATTATTATTATAATTATGTTTTATTGTTATTATAATTATTACAATCATAATTATTATCATAATTATCATTATTATACTTTATTGTTACTATTATTATTGTTATTTTATTATTACTATTATCATTAGTATCATTATGATCATCATCGTCATCATTATTATCCTTATAAGTAATTATTTTATTATTATTTTATTATTATTTTTTATTTTTATCATCGCTATTATAATGTATTCTTTTTTATTATTTATTATTATTTATCATTATTTTCAGTCATACAAAATTATCACTATTATTCTTACTACTGTGGCCATCATAACAAAATATAATAAAGGGAGATATTTTACTTATCAAACTTCCTCAGGTGAGAGAATAAAGAAAGATTAAAGAAAAGTCAGTTTAAAGAACAAAAAAGTGTAAAAAAGGCTAAAAAAAAATCCCTTTCAGCATTTACATATCCCAAAATACAGATTTTGGGATATATAAATGTATCTATTGTGGGATAATAAAATAGAAGAAATATATTTCTATTTTGGGATTATATAAATATATAAATGTATCTATTGTGGGATAATAAAATATAATAAATTATATTTCTATTTTGGGATATATAAATATATAATTGCATGTATTTGGGCTAATATAATAAAATATATTTCTATTTTGGGATATATAAATATATAATTGTATGTATTGTGGGATAATAAAATAAATTTCTATTTTGGGATATATAAATATATAAATGTATCTATTGTGGGATAATAAAATATAATAAATATATTTCTATTTTGGGATAATAAAATATAATAAAATATATTTCTATTTTGGGATATATAAAGATATATAAATGTATTTATTGTGGGATAATAAAATATATTTTTATTTTGGGATATAAAAATATATAATTGTATGTATTGTGGAATAATAAAATATATTTCTATTTTGGGATATATAAATATATAAATGTATCTATTGTGGGATAATAAAATATAATAAATATATTTCTATTTTGGGATATTTCTATTTTGGGATATATAAATATATAAATGTATCTATTGTGGGATAATAAAATATAATAAATATATTTCTATTTTGGGATTATAAAACATAATAAAATATATTTCTATTTTGGGATATATAAATATGTAATTGTATGTATTGTGGGATAATAAAATATAATAAATATATTTTTATTTTGGGATATATAAATACTCTCCAGATCTCTGGGATGTACCTGAGGGAACAGGATTGTGCTCCCAGGGCTGCAGAGGTGTTTTCCAAGGAAAAAGAGATTGTCTGATTACAAACCCAAGGCAGGGGGAGGGAATTCCATCAGCAGCCAGAGGGAAGGGCTGCCCTGGAACCTTCCCAAGGCTGGATCTGGCCATGGATCACAGCAACCTCCTCCAAAGGAAAACTGGGATCAAAGGATTCTCCAGCTCCACCAGCCATTCATTCCCTGTCCCACTCCAGCACCTGAGCTCCACCACCACGGGGATTCTGGAGAAGGGAATATCCCAAATCCTGGGATTTCCAGGGCCATTCCCACTTTTCCAGAGGTGTGTACCTGGGTGCAGCCCTTGAGGGACAGGGCCCGCAGCCCCCCGCAGCCCCGCACCAGCGCCTGGATCCCGTCCTTGGTCACTTGGTCGCACCAGGAGATGATGAGCTGTTCCAGCAGCGGGCATCCCTCACTGGGGACACAGGGACACACACGGAAACGCTCCTTTACCTCGGGAAAAATCCTGCTCCCAGCCAGGAGCTGCGGCATTCCCGGTTCTGGGACAGCGGGAAGAGCCCAGCTCCAGAGGGAGGGATGGCTGGAGGATCTCAGAGGTCTTCTCCAGCCTCAATGATGCTGGGATTCCACGGGAAATCCCGGCTGCTGGCTCCTACCTCAGTGCTTTCAGGGACAGGTTGGTGATGGAGGTGCAGGAAGCCAAATCCAGGTGCCTGAGTTTGGAGCAGAACTTGCTGAGGTTGGTGCAGGTGCTGGAAGAGACACACGGGGACAACTCCTGCGATGGATTCACCCCAGACCACGGAATTCCCATGGGATGGGCAGGCTGGGCTGAGGATGGAAGCTGTGGATCCCTGGAAGCACCCCAGGCCAGGCTGGACAGGGCTGGGAGCAGCTCTGGGGTGGTGAAAGGTGTCCCTGCCCTAGCAGGGTGGGAATGGATGGGATTTAAGGTCTTTCCAAGCCAAACCATTCCATGGAAAACCTCCCACACCCCTGAGTTTTCCCTTAAAAAAGAGAGGGAGGACAGGAATAGCCAGGGGAGAGGGAAGGGTTTCACTCACATATCCGTGATCTTGGTACAACCATTGAGGTTCAGCACCTCGATGTTCCTGCAGTTCTGGGCAAAGGTCCTGAGGGAAAGGGAAAACATTGGATTTGTCAGTGGAATTCAGATTAAAATCGTACAAAATTCAATTTACAAAATTTACAGTCTCAAAGAGATTGAAGAAGAAAAATAGAGAAAATCAAGAAGGGAATCAAGAAGAAAACGGAGAAAATTGAAAGAACCAAGAAAGAAGAAAGGAATCCAGAAAAACGAGAAGATAAACAGGATCTAAATCAAGAAAATAATCAAGAAAGAGGAAAACCCAGAAGATCAAGAAAAGTAATCAAGAAAATCAAGAAAACCAAGAAAAAAAAAAAAAAGAAGAAAACCAAGGAGGAAATCAGTAAAGAAGAAAGGCATCTAGAAAGAAGAGTCAAAAAAATCAAGAAGAAAATCAAGAAGAAAACCAAGAGAATCAAAAAGAAAATCAAGGAAAAGAAAAGAACCAAGAAAAATCAAGAAATAAGAAAATAATCAAGGAAAGAATCTATAAAGAAGAAAAGAATCAAGAAGAAAATCAGGAACAAACCCAAGAAAATCCCTGATTTCTGCTGCCCCACCTCCTGCCCTGGGATGTCCCAGCCTGGAGGCACCCAGTGCCCATCACCCTCATCCCTTGGCTTTATTCTCATGAGAAATGTGAGAAATGACTGCTGGATGAGGTTAAAAATGCTAAATTCAGTGACAAAACCCCAATAAATTATTTTTACAAATGACAAATTAAATTATAAAAATGATTAAAGAAATAATAATAATAAAAAAATAATTTGATAAATTAAATGAGAAATGAATAATGTCTGTCCCTGCTCTCCAGGTTTTGACATCCTGAGGGTTTTACAGGGATAAATTGTCCCAATCCTGGTTTTTCCAGCCCGTTCCAAAGGTGCAGCTCTACCTTAAGGCGTTGTCCCCCACTCCCAGGCAGCCCCGCAGGCTCAGCTTCCGCAGGAATCCCCCACATCTCTTGGAAATGTTCTCCACCACTCGGCCCTGGGAGAGACAGCAGGAGCCACCTGAGAACCCCAAAGAGCTCCAGGAAGCTGAAGTGAAGGTTTTGCAGATAAAACAATGATTTTAATTTCATTTTAATGGTTGAAAACGGTGCTAAGGGAATAAAAGTGCTGTGGGGAATGGGCTAAGGGAGGGGGAGGGAGAATTATTCAGCTTCTGAAGATGGAGAGATAAGGAGCAGTCACCTAAAGCAGGTGAGATAAAGCATTTTGAGAAATTTCCTCTGGTTTGGAGCTCCTCAGACTCCCCAAGGAAGGTGGGAACAGCCACACCCCAGATTCCCAGGCACAGCCAACGGATAAACTCCAATTTCTACCCAAAACAGAGATGAGAACCAGCCCACGTGTTTTGCTCCTGCAGGAAATCCAACCATTTGCATTCCAGAGATCCAGAAAAGACTTTTTAATTTCTGATCTGGATCCAAAGACCCCATTACAGCCAGGATTTACCTTTCCCAGGGTAAAAAGGGAATAACCACTGGAGGATATTTGTACCAGAAACTCAGAACCTTCCCCTGCACTTTGGCTGTTCCTCACAGAGCAGGAGCATCCCTTGGTCCTTCCAGGACTAACTGGGATTTGGGACCTCTGGGAGATGAGGATTTTCTTCTTTTCCAGTCTAAAAAACCCCAAATCAGGCTCAACACAACCCCAGCATCAGAGAAGGGAGCTGGGTGAGCTCAGGGACACCCCGGGAGCGCCCTCGACCTCCACAGCCCTGCAGAAAGGCTGGAAATGCTGAAACACTCCCTGATTTGGCAATTCCTCAATCAAATCTAGGAATTCTGCTGGAATTCGACGAGCCAAACGTGTTTCTGTCAAGAATTTACACGGATTGATGGATTTAACTTCAATCCATTTACATTTCCATTTCATGTAAATCCATTTACAGCAGAGCCTGAGGATTCCAGGAGGCCCAGCAGGAACTCTGAGGTGAGGTACAACAAATTCCAGAGTTTTGTTTTCAGAGGGGAAGCCTGGGCTTGGGAAAGAACACGGCTTTGATGTGCAGGGACGTGAAAACCACCCAAAAAGCACTGAGGAATGGGAAAAGCCTGGTTTGTATTCCCAGCCTCTCCCTCCTCCCATCTCCTGCCACTCCACACTTCAGGAACCCTGAGAACTCCACTCTAAATAAACAATTCCAGGGTTTTTATCCTGGGTCCATGATTTTTAGGGCACATTATGAGGTGAAGGATTCATTATGAAGATCCAAAATCCATTTCCTTCCCCCAGGGCACTCAGACCCTGCTGAGGGGGCAGTGCCCCCTTCCAGCTCCTCATCCCTGTCCAGGTGCCTCTTCCAGCTCCTCATCCCTGCCCAGGTGTCCCTTCCTGCTCTTCATCCCTGTCCAGGTGTCATTTCCAGCTCCTCATCCCTGTCAGGTGCCTCCTCTTCCTCCTCATCCCTGTCCAGGTGCCATTTCCTGCTCCTCATCCCTGTCCAGGTGCCTCTTCCTCCTCCTCATCCCTGCCCAGGTGTCCCTTCCTGCTCTTCATCCCTGTCCAGGTGTCATTTCCAGCTCCTCATCCCTGTCCAGGTGTCTCTTCCTCCTCCTCATCCCTGTCCAGGTGTCTTTTCCTGCTCCTCATCCCTGTCCAGGTGTCATTTCCTGCTCCTCATCCCTGTCCAGGTGTCTCTTCCTCCTCCTCATCCCTGTCCAGGTACCTTTTCCTGCTCCTCATCCCTGTCCAGGTGCCATTTCCTGCTCCTCATCCCTGTCCAGGTGTCATTTCCTGCTCTTCATCCCTGTCCAGGTGCCATTTCCTGCCCTTCATCCCTGTCCAGGTGCCTCTTCCTCCTCATCCCTGTCCAGGTGTCCCTTCCTCCTCATCCCTGACTCTCAGCTGCACAAAGGGATGATTTCAACACTTTCCTGCAAAATCAGGGCTGGATTTCCCCCAAAGTGGGAACTTTCACTCGGCAGCTGCCTCCGTCTACCACAAGTTAAAGCCACACATTCCCCATTTCCCTCCAATGTGAAACGTTCCAAATCTCCCTCCTCCAATGTGAAACGTTCCAAATCTCCCTCCTCCAATGTGAAACATTCCCCATTTCCCTCCTCCAATGTGAAACATTCCCCATTTCCCTCCAACATCAAACATTCCCCATTTCCCTCCTCCAATGTGAAACATTCCCCATTTCCCTCCTCCAGTGTGAAATGTTCCCCATTTCCCTCCTCCAGTGTGATTTAAACAGGATAAAACACCCTGATAAGAGACTTAAGGATCGGGTTTTTCCTCATCCCCCTTTCCTGCTCAAGGCAATTTGAATTTTCAGCCTCCACCCCCACTGGTGCTGAAGAATCCACATCCCACGGGTTCAGCCACAACAGAGCAGCTCCAAAGCTGCATCTTTTAGGGACAGGACCCCCAATCACCTTCGCTTCAATTTCAATTTTTGGTATTTAAGATACAAACACTGCAGGCCATGCTTCAATAGACACAGCCCTCATGTTCTTATCTGAGTGCAAGGAGGAGTAGCTTAAATTCTCTTCCATAAAAGCAGCAGTTTTCCCCAAAAAAATCAACTTTTTCTACCGATTTCTGTTTTCAGAACAGACAAAAACTACTTTACTTCCATTGCTACCTTTAAGTCTTGCTAGGGATATAGAATTCTGTCCATTTTCAAAAGCTGAATGGATTGCCAAGACTTTTAAAAAGACTCCCTGAAGCTGAAGAACTGAAATGAATGATTTCTATCTCCAGGGAAGGTAGAAAGGGTTATGCTGGGAGTATGAATCCATTCTAGGCTGTAATTACATTTTAACAAGAAAAAAAAAAAGGTTTGTATGTTAATTATACCTCAATATCCCTCTGGAAATCAAACAGGTCAATTCGCTGCCAGTTACTGCCATCCAGGGCCAGAACATTCCATGCCTTTATCAGGGGGAAAAAATGTAAATGTGTGGTTAATATGAAAAAAAAAAAAAGGTCAGTGGGGACCTAGTCAGAGAGAGACAACATTCTGTTCCAGGTGGGAAAGCAAGAGGTAATTCCTGCAGGGAGAACTGGGCAGGCACAATTCGGAATTCTGAGTCCCCCAGCCAGGGAAGAGCTGCCCTGGCTGCTTCCACTCCCTTGGGAAGTGCAGGTGTGAGCCAGGAGAGCACCTGGAGCTTGGGAATCTTCACATTCCTGGCTGGGATTTACTCCCAGAGGACACAGGTGAGCACCCCCCTGCAGCTGCAGCAGCGACAAAGGGCTTGGTTTGTGTTTAAATCACCAAAATCTGCTGTGGTTCCTGCCCCAGAGGAGGAGCAGGAACTCGGAGCTGCCCTCAGCCTGATGGATTTATGTCAGCAAGGTAAACAAGTGGAGCTTGTAGTAACCAGGAGCCAGCCTTGTGCAAGAGGCAGGGATAAACACAGGGGGATTTTCCATCCCAAATCCCAGCTCCTCCCCACCACAGAACACCGGTTCTGGGGCAGGAGTTCGTGCAGAGCCACAACAGACGACAGAACTGAGGGCTAATTGATTTTTTGGGGGGTTTAAACCTCACTGCTGATGTTTGTTTTAAGGCCTGGTTATGGCCAGGAGAAAAGCAGTGGGAAATGACCCAGTGGCTGCATAATTCCACGGGCAGAAATGTTCCAGAGCCTTCCTGCACATCCCCGCAGGAACTTCCCATGCTGTGCCATGGAATGCTGTGCTCCCTGTGCAAACAGGAGCTGGGACAGCCCAGGAGAACACCCTGACATGGGCAAAGAACCCCTGAGAGCCCAGGAGAACACCCTGACATGGGCAAAGAACCCCTGAGAGCCCAGGAGAACACCCTGACATGGGCAAAGAACCCCTGAGAGCCCAGGAGAACACCCTGACATGGGCAAAGAACCCCTGAGAGCCCATTCTGCTCTGCTGATTCCAGCTGGGAGCTCTTTCCTGCACAACCTGTGTTCTTCAGGTGACAGCTGGAATGCCCAGACACCACACAGGGTATTTTTAAATGCAATTAACGATGCTGAATTATTTTTTTTTTTTTTTTTTGTAATTCCAATGTGCTAGGAGTAATTAAATCAGTTTGTGGTTGAGGTTTGGAGCCAGCACTGATGGGTCTGTGCAGGTGTCACCCAGCCAGGATGGGTGACATCACCCCACCCTTGGCTGTGCTGTGTTACCAGTGGCAGGAAAAAGCACCTGATAAATCTGGCAGCTCCAGAACCTTCCAGTCCAGTTGGAAGAATTCTCCCAAGCAAATAATCCAGGCTGGGTTTCATTAATTGAAGGATAAGAACAACCCCTCACTTTAATCCCGTGCTTACTCCAGCTACATCCAAGGAGAAAATGAACTTTCATTGACTGTGCAGCATCTTTGTGAATTAAAATTCCTGTATTTTCACCAAATGTACTCCCATTCACGTATTTCCACCACACAATGTTATTTTGGGCTCATCCCACCTTGGGGATTTCAGCAGGGTGAGCTCCCTGAACAAACCCAGAATGAGGGGAGAGTTCTGGCTGAAACATCAGCTCCCTCCCCTTTGTACCTGGGACACTGGAAAATGCTATTCCAACCTGGAATTCCCCTCCACCGGTGCTATGGGAATTTTCCAGGACTTCCAGGGGATGCTGAATAAGCCCAGTTGAGTGGCACAAAGCTCCCTGGCACAACCCCCATGGGGAGGGCTGGAGAGGGAGAATTGTCACCCAAATCCAGCCCCTGCTAAAATCCAGCAGGAAGGAAGAAGGTTCTTACCCTGGAAACTTGAGCACAACGACACAGAGTGACCACATCCAGGAAAGAGAAAATTCTGGAACAGAAATAAGAGATACCTTATTGGTTATTGACATTTAAAACAAAAGGGGATGCAGAAAATAAAGGGGAGGAGAGGAAAAAAAAAAGGACTGGGACAGCAAAAGTGCTTTGTGATTCGGCTGAAAGCTGAGCTGTGAAAGGAAGTGCAGAGGCAGCACTTCCCAAATGGAAGCAAAACACAGCCATGGAGCCCCTGGGAAACAGAAACCTCATACCTTGGGGTGGTTCCTGACCCCAGATCTGTGACTGCTCCCCCCAAGTGACCCTTGCAGGAGCCCCACGCTGAGCCAGGACATGGAGCACTACCAGGGATGCTGGGCTGGCTCTGACCCTGAAAGGAGGGACTCCAACACTCCAACACCTTCAGCAACAGCTCCAGAAGTGGCAGTGCCACCCCTCATTCCCAGCCCCACAAGTGGCAGTGCCACCCCTCATTCCCAGCCCAGGATGGCAGTGTCACCCCTCATTCCCAGCCCCAGAAGTGGCAGTGCCACCCCTCATTCCCAGCCCCAGAAGTGGCAGTGCCACCCCTCATTCCCAGCCCCAGAAGTGGCAGAGCCACCCCTCATTCCCAGCCCCAGAAGTGACAGTGCCACCCCTCATTCCCAGCCCAGAAGTGGCAGAGCCACCCCTCATTCCCATCCCAGGATCCAGGCAGGGCCACAGCCCGGTTTGGGTGCCTGGATTATTCCTGAGTTCCCCAGCAGTGATTACAGGGCTGGAGCAGCTCTGCTGTGAGGAAAGGCTGGGATTGCTCAGGCTGGGGAACAGGAGCTGCAGGGTGACCTAATTGTGGCCTCCCAGTACCTGAAGGGGCTACAGGAAAGATAAAGCAGGATTGTTTCCAAGGGCCTGGAGCACCAGGGCAGCGGGAAATGGGGATAAACTGCCAGGGGACAGGGATGAATGGGATACTGGGAAGAAATTCCACCCTGGGTTTCCCAGAGAAGCTGCCCCATCCCTGGAAGTGCTGCAGACCAGGCTGGGATGGTGGGAGGTGTCCCACGGTGGGGCTGGATGGGCTTTATGGTCCCTTCCAGCCCAAACCATTCCAGGATTCTGCACTTCCACCAGTGGCAGAGCCAGACATGCTCAGCCAGGAGGGACAATGACACCGTGGCCACTCCTGAGTGTCACCCTGGGCCAGGGCACACCCCAGGACTGCCAGGCTATTATTGGGATAAAGGAATTACACAGCTGAGAGTGCCAGGATTTCCCTGGGGATCACACCCCCCCGCCCAGCTGTGGATGCAGAAAGCACCGAGCCCATGGAGAGCTCCCAATCTGCACCAAAACATCAATAATGTATAAAATTCAAAGGGATTTCCATGTTGTTTCATGGTTACTCAAACAATGGTGTCCCAAAACAGACGAGGTCAAGCAGAGGGTGGGAGGACATCAAGGTCTCGTTCCCTTTGGGAACAATTATAAAACTGGAGTTTTTGCAAAGATAATGCAAGATTTCAACCACAATGTGCTTTAATATTTTAATTTCGTATTTTCAACTTGAAGGCCACCCGAAACAGAAAGCAAACGTTGTCAGCCACAAGCATCCTGAGAAGCAGGGATGGAAAAAGCCCTTCAGAAACCCCAGTTTTGGGGGAAAAGGCTGTTCCTGGTGGGAAATGCAGATTATTTATCAGAACTCTGATGCTAAAGGCATCACACAGCAGCACTCAGCTAAATCAGGATGAACAGCCACGCTCCCCCCTGTGGCTCATGCGCTTCCCAGGGATACTCATGGATCCAAGGAGTTAAGGGGTTAAGATCCAAGGGGTTCAAGGCACTTCTGATCTTATCACGAGACAAATCTGAGTGATCTGACAGTGGAGAAGAGCCCACGTGCACTTGAACGCTGTCTGGAATCCCAGATTCTGGATTTCAGAGCAGTTCCATCCTCCCTGCCCACAGACAAGGCTCCCCCTGAGCCTGATGTCATTTCTTGGTGTCCAAGGGTTTATTCAGCACCATGTCCATCCACAACAATACCAGGAAAGCCTGGGAAAATGAGAGAAGCTGGGGAAAATTCTTACTTTCAAATTCCCATCGGAGGAGTAAATAAAACTTCAGGTTCTACTGGTCACTCACAAAGGAAGTTTTCCCTATTTTCATTAAAATACCCGACTCCATGGGAATCCCAGACTGTTAATAATCACCTCATCAGGGCTGGGAGATCTGGGATAAATTCTCCTCCACTTCCTGCTCCTCCCTTCCCAGAAACACACAACAACAGGGATTCACCCTGGCCAAACCCTCACCCCTCTCCCTTCCCCAGCACGGAGATCTCGGCTCTGAGGAGCTCCAGAGACTCTTCCAGTGTTCCCTCAGCTCCTCCTGCACTTGTCCAAGACATTGAATGGATAATTCAGCAGAATCAGGCTGCAAAAAGGACTTTTCCACAGCAGGCACTCCTTGGTTGCGGATTTTCATCACTTCAGAACCGGATCCAGCTGCTCCCCATGGAGCAGGAAGAGCAGCAGGAGCACAGGTGAAGTCCTGCAGGCACCATGGCCCGAGCTGAGAATTCCCCTGCAGCCCTGAGGATGGGATTTTCCCTCTCCAAGGAACTGCTGGGCAACACTAAAATACCTCAAACCCCACAAATAAGCAGTGACTGAGCTGCAGCAGCAATACTTGAATGATTTTTCCCAATTCCTCGTTAACAGGCCCAAAGACACCGTGCTGGGATTTATTTTTCCACCCAAACAGGATATTCCTGTCCTGCTCACAGCTGCCTGGTGAACCTTTTAAAGCAGTTTTTATTCTTCAGAATCGACAGTGGAGAAAATAATCCACAAAATTAACTTTATCATCCAAGAGTGATCACAGATGAAGGCAGACTGAGCTTCCCCAACAGGAATTAAATCTGGAATTGCAGCAGATTAAATTGTCTCACTGCAAAGGGACTCCCTGTGCGTATGATTTTGTCTGAACAGCTTAGCTCTGCACAATTTGGGTAAAACACACTCACTTTGAGCAATTTTCAGGTTTCAACCTCTTAATCCACTCAGGGGTTTCTAGGACTCCTCACTTTCCCACTGCTGCTCTAATTAGATTAGGGTCAAGACTCTCATGAAATCCCTGCATGCTGCAGGCTCTGAGGTGAGCCAGCTTAGACCTGCAGCCTGCTAAAATTACCCACCCCAATTTCTGCCAGTGAAGCCCCAAATCATCCCAGTTCAATTCCAGTTCCACCCTGCTCCCACCGGGCTGGGCAGGGGCACGGACACCACGGCTCCCCCCGGGCACAGCTCCAGCTGCCGAGGGATGAATCAGCGCGTGGGGATGGCACAGCCAGGGCTGGGGATGTGCTGGGCAGGGCTGGATGGGCAGAGCACGGAGGCAAAGCTGCTTAGGATGGGAGAGAGCTGCAAACTGCCTGACCTGCCTGTGACCCAGCAGGAACAGCTCAGTTCCCGCAGGCTGATCCTGCTCCCGGCCAGGCAGGAGCTGTGCTGCAGCCCCACGTCACAATGGGAGAGGAAACATCTTCAGGAGGGCAGCAGAGATCTCCTCTCCCAGGGGAAATCCAGGTTTGGGGCTGGAGTTTGGCTCCCAAGACTGGCAGGTGGCCTCAGGGAAGGAAAACACCTTTCCAGCAGCAGTGGGAATGCAGGGGAACAGGGACAGGCTGCTCCTCTGGGGACACAGCCACAGCTGGAGCCAGCAGGGACCACGGATTCAGCACTGGAGTCACTGCCCAGGGACGAGCTGGGGCAGCCAAGGAAGGAGGGGACAGTGGAGGGAGTTCTGCTCTTTGCTGCTTTGGCTCATTGCTGTGGGTGTGAAGGTACAGCCACCTCCAGGTGTCACCTTCTGGCTCTCAGCTGGCAGGGGACAAAGCTGGGGCAGGCACAGCAGTGCCAGGACATGGACTGGTCACCACCTGCTGGGGCTGTCCCATCCCTGGGAGTGTCCCAGGCCAGGCTGGGATAGTGGGAAGTGTCCCTGCCATGGGAGGTGGAACCAGACAATCCCATAGATCCTCTCCAACCCAAAACATCCCGGGATTCTGTGACCTCCCCACCCCTGTCCTGCTCTCTGGACACGCAGGACACGATGTCACTGCTGCACCCTGGACACGGGACAGGGCCATGTCCCAGGACAGCCCTCCTGGTCCAACCCTGTGTTTTTAGGGATAACAAAGGCTGCTGTTCTCCTCTTTCACATCCTCCTCCTCCTCTTTATTTTGCCTAAGTGCAGCTTTCACTAGGGGACCCCAAAGCCGTCTGGGAGTGCCCAGAGCAGGGACAGGACTTCACAGAGCAGTGCCCAAACACACCAGCCTTTGTCCTGCACACAGTGACACCCATTTACAGGAGATTCCCGCAGAAAACCCATCCAAGCTTCTCTTTCAAAGGCTGCACTGTCAATGCACAGTAATTAATTTTCACAGTATGCTAACAGTGAATTCCAGCTCTCCAAACCATCACTTATGAGCTTTAAACATTTATCAACTCCCCGTTTCCCCTCGGTTCCACCTGATCTGAACAATTCCCTGCTCTACAGCAGGTTGGGATGGTCAGGGACAGCAGGACACAACAGGCACAGACATTTCCACAGGGCAGGAGTGTGGGAACTCAGCCACACTGGGGCTTGTCCTGATGCAATTCCCTGCTCTGTGCTCTCTGCTTCCCTTCTTCCTACCAAAAATCCTTCTCCATTTGTCTGGCAGCACTCATGGAATCCCAGAATGGCTTGGGAGGACCTTACAGCTCATCCAGTGCCACGGCAGGGACACTTCCCACTATCCCAGGTTGCTTGGAACCATGTCCAGCCTGGCCTGGGACACTCCCAGGATGGGACAGCCCCAGCAGGTGGTGACCAGTCCATGTCCTGGCACTGCTGTGCTTGCTCCAGCTTTGTCCCCTGCCAGCTGGGTGACACCTGGAGGTGGCTGTACCTTCACACCCACAGCAATGAGACAAACCTCAGCCTTTGGCTCCACTCAGGATCCTTCCCCTTCCAGCTATCAGAAACCTCACCCTGGCTCCAAGCAAGGTTCTGCTCCTGAGGAGCCTGAAACCCTCACGCTTCTCCTTCCCCTGAAATCCATGCAAAATCCCATTTACATTCCCTCACCCAACCTTTTTCTCCCTGCCCTATTCCCCCATTCCTGGTGCCACACAGATTCCCTGCCTCACTCATCAGGGCTCTTCACAACCTGTCCCCAACCCACCACAGTCCTGTCACCTCAGCACAGGTTGTATCTGCTCCTGTCAGAAAATCAACTCAGGAAATCATCTCAGAAAACACAGAAAGACAATTTTTTTGCTGCTCTTTTGCTGCTCCACATCCCAGCCATGGTTCAGGACAAGCACAGCAGCTGCCACCTGTGCAAACTCCTGCTGTGGAGGTTGTGACTCCATCCTGCTCCTCGTGCTCCTGGGTTTCACACAGGGATCTCCACACCCATTTCCTGTGTCCCAGGCCCCAATCCCAAACATCCACCCTGGCAGCAGGGAAGGCTCCAACAGCCACACTTTGTGCTCTGGGCTGAGGAACACTGGAACAAAAGAAACAGGAATCAGATGGGAAACAGCAGCTGAATCAGGTGGGAAATACCCATGGGATCAGGTGGGAAATACCAGTGGAATCAGGTGGGAAATACCCTTCCAGAGGAGGCAGTGCACTGAAAATGAGAGATGCTCATCCTTTTTCCCTGTTTCTTTCATTCCAGAGGTGAGCCAGCAGCATTTCCCTGAGTCACACTCACCTCCCAAGACTTCACTGTCACCCAGTGCTGACAGAACCAGTTTCTTGCAGTGTAAGAACGCTGTTGCTGTTAATAATTCAAGCTTCCACCTGCCTCTGCTCTCCCCATCTCCAGTCCAACACCTGAGCTCAAAGCACTGACAAACTCAGCTCTACTTCCAGAGCCTGAAATGAGGCACAATCACCCCCACACTCCCCTCCAGAGGGGCAGCAGGAGAGGGCAGAATTATCCACAGAGATTTTAAAGGACTTTCCAACCCTAACGATGCACAAAGTCTGATCTGTTTGGAGTTTGCCAACGGGACCATCCTGCCAGGAGCTGAACATCTGGGACAGGACAAAGTCCACTCGAGTTTAACTGGAGCAGAGGGATTCACTTTTGCTTTAAATCCTCAGAGAAGCAGAATCCTGTTCTCCACATCAGCCTCACCAGGAGGATTAATGAGAGGATCCTCACGCTCATTAAGGACCTGATTTAAAGTTCCTCCATTCACCAAACAACCAGCAAATCAATCCAGCATTTAAAAGCCCAAAACTTAATCCCATTTAGCACAAACTGCTGACACAGACCTTTGACCTGCCTCTGTTTGGGTCTGGCTTTATGAGTGACCCAATCCAAGCTCAGGATTTGGGAGCAGAGCAGCAAAATCCTGGATGCAAATAACAACCCACCGGTGGCCAGGGAGGACTCACCGAAGCAGCAGCTCTTTGGGCAGTTTTTTGTTGATTGCAGCTTCATCGTTGTTTGAGAACATCTGCAAACACAAAAAAATGGCACAATTTAGCCACAACTCAAGGGAACGAACGCTGCTTTACCCCAGGGAAGAAGTGGTTGGTTAAAGAGGCTGTTTGCAGGTATCTGGACCAGTAAATTCCTGACAGATAAACTTTGTGCTGCAGCTTTCCAGCTCCTGCACTGGACCACAGCTGGGTGGAGCATTACATCAAAATATCTTAAAGCACAGTGCAAGGATGCTCTGTGGATTGAGAGGTTAAATATAAACTGAGATCTGCAGCTGCTCCAGTGAAGGAAGTGATAACTGGGATGGGGCTGTGAGCTGGGGAGGCTCCCTCAGCACTTTGGGGGCGCACCAAGGCACAGACACATCAAAACTGGGAGGTTTTACAGACCAAACATCTGGCCAAGGGGCTGGAAGGGAGAGGAGAATGGGTCCAGCAGCCCAAATATCCACCAGAGGTGGAAGGTGCAGGTGCAGCAGGGTTGGTTTCTGTGATGGAAAAGGTGAACAGAGACACAACAAAGTCTTGCAGAGCCCAGAATGTTCTCCCAGCCCTCGGGAGCTCTGGGACAAACAGGACTGATGTTTAAACCACCAAGAATGGTTTAAAGGAGTTGTGATCTTTGGTGCTGCACCAGGAGGAGGGATCGTGCTGGGAAAGCTCGGTGTTCTTCCAAGGCAGCTGACTCTTGTATTCCAGAGCTGGCTCTTGTATCCCTCCAAATCCATGGACAACACCTGATGCACCTGGGATGGACTTTGGGACCAGGTAAAAGCATCTCAGACACTCTAAGAACAAGAGAAACTTCTCTTTTCCAAGGAATGCCAAGGAAAACAGAGAGCAAAAGCTCACAGGGCTCTTGAGAAGAACCTAAATAAAAACATTTCTAAGATTTGGTATTGTCTTGCCTTGGGGAAAATCCAGCACCTCCCAAATATCCTGTACCAAGCATGGATCCAATCCCAACACATCCCAAATATCCTGTACCTGAGCATGGATCCAATCCAAACACATCCCAAATATCCTGTACCAAGCCAGGGTCCAATCCCAACACATCCCACATATCCTGTACCAAGCCTGGATCCAATCCCAACACATCCCAAATATCCTGTACCAAGCCTGGATCCAATCCCAACACATCCCAAATATCCTGTACCAAGCCTGGATCCAATCCCAACACATCCGAAATATCCTGTACCTGAGCATGGATCCAATCCCAGCACATCCCAAATATCCTGTACCTGAGCATGGATCCAGCACATCCCAAATATCCTGTACCTGAGCATGGATCCAACACATCCCAAATATCCTGTACCAAGCATGGATCCAACACATCCCAAATATCCTGTACCAAGCCTGGATCCAATCCCAACACATCCCAAATATCCTGTACCTGAGCATGGATCCAATCCCAACACATCCCAAATATCCTGTACCTGAGCATGGATCCAATCCCAACACATCCCAAATATCCTGTACCAAGCCTGGGTCCAATCCCAACACATCCCAAATATCCTGTACCAAGCCTGGATCCAATCCCAACACATCCCAAATATCCTGTACCAAGCATGGATCCAATCCCAACACATCCCAAATATCCTGTACCTGAGCATGGATCCAATCCCAACACATCCCAAATATCCTGTACCTGAGCATGGATCCAATCCCACCACAACTTCCCATGAAATCCAATGTGCTGCCACTAAATGGCCCTTTAAATTCTCCAGTTGGTGATGGCAAACTGGGAATTGAGGAACACCATCACCCCCAGAGAACAGCAAACCCCAGGATTTTAAAGCCACATGCTGCACTCCCAAATCCCAGTTTGCTTTTGAATTACCCCAAGGCTGCCAGAGTGCGGTGCCAAAGTGGGAATTCTCAAACTTCCTTCCCAAAATGTCAGCCAGCAGAAGTGCTGCTCCCCCCACAGACCCTTTTATCACTTCCCACCAGGAGTACCACAGGTCCTGAGCAGAAGCCAGCCTGGCAGCTCTCAGCCCAATTTGCTGATTTAATTTAATTAAACGGAGCTTTTGCCATTCCCAGTTCGCAAAGGGCTCTTCCCTCGCGTCTCCAGGTGACTCTGGAGCCACAGTGGGTGGGAACACACATTCCCAAGGCTGGGAGAGCAGCACCTGCACATGCTGGGGCAGGACCAGTTAATTAAATTGATTAGTTGATTGATTAGGAGATCGAGGAAATCATGGAGGGAGCTCTAATGGAGGAGGAGTGCAGAGGAATTATTGATGGGAAAACGAGATGTGATTCCTTTTCCCCCAGTTACAGGAGCACACAGGCAGATCCAAACCCTTTCCCACCACTGCCCAGACCTTGAATCAGGATTTTCCTCCCCAAAAAAGGCTCAGAGAAATGAAAGGAGCTGAATTCCACGAAGGAACCAGAGCAGAAGAAGGGCAGGAAGGGTTAAAGCAGAGATTCCAGGAGCCTCCTCCTGATCACAGAGAACTCTGCCCATCAAATCCCTCAGCAGGAAAATCTCACCTCAGTCCCGGCACAAATCCCATCCCCAGACTGGTTTCTGCAGGAGTTTCCCTTTGACCAGCACTAATCTAAAGGAATGTTTGTTTTTTGTCTTACTAAAAATAGTCCTTGGACTTAAACCGTGACAGAGCCCAGGCAGGATGGGAGAACCTCAGCTCTGGAATTCTCCCTCCCCTGGAATGAGCCAGGATCCATCTCCAGACCTATTTTCTCCAGCCTTCCTTCAAAGCCTGAGGCTCAGATGGCATAGGCTGGGTGAAAACAGGCTGGAATTGGGATTTTGCTAAGTCATGGCAGCACGTACAGCTAAATATACCATGGACATGGGGACCTTCTGGCAAGTCCATACAAAAATAAAGCTCTGAAAAAATGTCAGGGGCTATTCTAGACTTCCAGGCTTTCAAAATGCTTCATGGGATCAAAAAATAAATACCCCAAATTTGCTTCTCCTAACGTCTCTTTGATCTTCTTTAATACCAGGTGTTGTCCAATAGAAGAAATTATTCTGGACAGGACACAGAAAATCACATTTTTCTTGTGTGTAAATTTTCAATTTTACAGAATCACAGCACAGAATCCTCCACCGAGGAGCCGCTTTGCAGCCAACATCCCACATGGGATACTGGGAAGGAATTCCTCCCTGTGAGGGTGGGGAAGGGCTGGGATGGAATTCCCAGAGCAGCTGGGGCTCTGGAAGTGCCCAAGGCTGGGCTGGACAGGGTTTGGAGCATCCTGGGACACTGGAAGGGGTGGCACTGGTGGCCTTTAAGGTCCCTTCCCACCCAAAGCTGTTTTGATTCCATGAGCCAAGAGGTTCCATGGATTTTGGAGCCTGGTCCGTGGCACAGGCACCCCATATCCCCTCTGGAAAACCCATTCCAGGGCCTCAGCATCCTCACAGGGAGGAGTTTCCCCCTAACACCCAATCCAGGATTGGATTTTTATCAGTGTGAAGCCATTCCCCTTGTCCTGCCCCTGGAATTCCTGATGGAATTTCAGTGTCAGCCTGACACCGAACCCAAACACTTTCAAGCAGAAAATTCAAAGCTGGATGGAGAAAAAGGGATGAAGATAACTCCGAGTTTCAGGAATTAGTGGCTGCAAGGCTGGAGGAGGCACCTGGGTCGGTTGAGACAGAATTATCCACCTTGATGTTCACTCCAGGGGAAAAAAAACCTGGATCTGGCATTTCTGGAGAGCCTGAGGGTGCCTGGGAAGCACCAGCACAACGCCAAGGGAGACACAGAGCGGGGAAGGGAGAAGGTGATGCCTATTTCTGTATAAAAACCACCCTCAGACGTGTTTTTTATACAGAAACATTCCCAGAAACTCAACCAACAAAGCGCTGCACGTCTCTGTGTTAAGCAAAGCTCACACCGAAGAAACAAAGCAGAATTTAAAACCATAATCTACGAAATATTGGTAAATATTCTGATTTTAAACAGCTCCAACTTGTTTGCTTGTGGGACAGAAAGTGTGTGAGGTGACAAACTTGTAGGTAATGGTGTGCTGAGGATGAAACTAGAGCTCACTGCCCTCATGGGCCCCTCTAACTCAGGATATTCCAGGGTTCTGCGAGTCCTGATCCACGAGGAAATGCTGCCCAGACCCTCCACAACTGCACAGAACCACAGGAAATGAAGCAATTCAAACCAAGCCAGAAAACAGGCTGCAATTATTAATTATTAGAGAGCAAATCATGCGCTCTGGAAACTGGTTTTAGGTTTGGAAAGGCGGGGAATCAACCACTGATGGCAGAAATCATGGATTACATCCACAGCTTGAATATTTTGGAGTTTATAGCCCACCCAGTCTGCATCAAGACACTTTGGAGATGAATCTTCCGAGCTCCAAAAGTCTTTTCTGTTCTGAAAGCTCTGTGTGAATTTGTTCAGAGTTTAAACCCTGAGTCTGAGATGCACTGGGAGGTTCCTCCAGCTGTAAGGCTGCTGGCTCCCAGCCCAAATTCCAGGATTTCTGGTAGAATTTGTACCAATTTTATCTGTAATGGTCCACATGGAGATGAACAAGCCCAGTACAGTCACTGACACAAGACAAAACTCACAGCAAACCTCACCCACAACTCCGACCCAGTAAAAAACAGCTGAGCACGAACCACGAAACAACAGGAAAAATGTGGATTTCACTCTGCATTTCCTTTGGAAAAGCTCAGTGAAGCTTTGAGACGACTTCTTACAAACATGCTCAATATGTACTGACACCCTGCCTCGAGTTCTGCTCGTTTTGGGCAAAAATTCCTCCGCAGTGACAAGGCTCAAATAACAGAGACACGAGAGACGTCGGTTCCCTTCCCAGGACAAGATTTGGGGAAGCAGCAGCTGGAGCAGGCTGAGCTGCCTTCCTGGAGGCAAAGAAAATATTACACTGCAGAGATAAGTCACAGTGAAGTGACAGCAAAATCCGAGGGCTCCTCGGAGGACGCCATCCAAAGAATGAAGTTGTTTACATCCACAGGCAGCTCCGACCGAGGGAATTTTCCCTCCAGCCTGTA